GCATGGTGCTGCTGGGCATGATGACTGGCATTGCTGCTTACATGGTGCAGGTAAAATATACCAGTCCAGTCCAAATAGGAATATGAGGTTCAGTTTGATACCATTAGTGCCTTATTTTACAAGTCTGTAATTGTCTAGGCAGTTTCCTTTAAAGGGCTTAAAAGATTCCTTTCAGTTTCTAAGCAGTTTTGAAGAGGACATTTTTTTAAATGAAGTTAATATTTATTCATTTTATATTTGTTTGATCATTTATTCTCTCTATCGTTGAAATTATGTGCTTTACTTTCTGACTTGCTGTGAAATGACTAAAAGACATGCAAGGTTATGCCAGCAATTAATAGGAATAATTTTAAAACAAGTGTACTGGCTGAATGTCGTCTCCATTTCTTTATAGTTGGTATCAGATTATATAAAAAGAAATGCAGGGTCTGTAAAGTCCCTGTGTCATGCTCATTTTGCTCATTTTCAGCCATTTAATGTTTAATCTTGGGTACCTCTAGATTAGCTTGGCACTCCTCATAACTCCAAATAGTCTGTAATTATTTCAGAACGATAAAACCAGAGAGCCTCTTCCTAAAGACAAGAGGATAGCTCATGAATGCACACAATTCTTGTTGCCAGTGTTGTCAAAATCCATTTCCCCATTGAAATGTTTCCCCTAACCTGAATCCTAGCATTATCCGAATTACAACCACTGGAACCAAGTTTTGAACAGGGAAACACATCTTGACAGGGGAACAAAAAAACACTGAGAAATAAGCTATGTTTTGACAGTGACAATACCTGAAATCCTACCTGACATGTTCAAGCCAGAATATGAAAGTGGACAGCACAATGAACCACAGCAGCATTAATTAATTTGAATTTTCCCTCCATAGATAGATAAACAACAGTATATGTACCACTGAAAAGAGATGTGTAACACTCTAAACAAAGTAGGTAACTGAGAAAGTCCATATTTTAATTGGCCAATCTGTGCTGTAGAAAAACCAGAGAAACCAGCTCCTGTCTGACTGTGTTCAGCTCCTGACACCAAAACAGATTTCTGGACTTGCCACATAAGCCACATTTTGCCAAAAAACCATCACATGTCACTAATGACTTGTCTAAAAGGACATGAAGTTTGTTAAATAATTTGGTTTTCTGTGGCCTCATCCAAGGTCTTTCTTCAGTACAAGTCAATGTTGGCATGACAAACAGTGACTTAATAGCTGGAAACATTTATGCTCTACACACCAGTTATGCTTTATGTAACAAGTGGAAAACAATGATTAGCTTATAAAGCTTATCTGTTTTATGACTGTTTACAGCCTTTTAAATAATGGCATATACAGTTCTCCAAAGTAATTACATATTAATACCCCCCCCACACACACACACAAACACACACAAATACCACCAGTCCTACAGGCCTGTCTCCTCATACAACAGTGGCTTTGTCTCCAGCAGACAATGTATGGTGTTGTCTAGAAAGTCAAATCACAGAGTGCCCCCTATCTACCCTCTCTTTTATTACCTATCATACTTCACCGTTCTCTGCTAAATGGCCTTTTTTGTTTTGGTCAGCCACACTACCTTTGTTACATCCACACTTGTTGTGCCCTGTGAACAATTCAGCTATCTGTTATCTATTATGTATTTTCAGCAGTTTGGATGTGTGTCTGTCCTGAGGTGAGGCTGATTAGCAGGAACTGGTGGCCTGTGCTGGTGCAGGTGATCCCGGGACAGTCACATGCTGTAGGCTGCAGTAGGCCCTACTGTGATTACTAGTCCATATCATTTCTCATTCATGCAGACATATCTTATTTATCTGTTCTGTTACACCTTAAGCTGCTATTGGAATTTTTTATTGTCAGACATCAATTTTATAAAAATAGAATTTGGGATATTGTTATTCAGCCTGGCAAATGTAAATATTATGAGTTGATGATGGAGTTGTGAAACATTCCACAACTGCTAATGAGATGAATTACACTATGGAAATCAACATCCATACAAACTGTCTTCACAGTGAATATTGTGTACACTTTTAATAGTTCCAGGTCTTAGCTCTGTTGTAAGCTCCATTTATCCTTTGACTTTGAATTCCAATATCATTTTATTATGCTTTCTGCCATTAAAATCAGTCAAAATCTTTATTGTAATTCATTGTTTTTGCTATTGCTTTTTTAAAATTTGTACAAAACTGGTTTACGAGTTTGAATATCTTAACAGTGGCATCTTATTAACAAGATGCCAGGGTGAATTTAATTTATGGCCTATGACTGATGGACTGGTTTGATAATATACTGACCTTGATGATGATTAGCTAAGTAAAAAATTAGCTAAGGGCTGTAAAAGAAAGCACATAAGCAAGTGAGATATAATTGTAGATTGAAAACATGGTACTTCGAATGAGTGGATGTGTTTGTGTTGGAAGTCTGATGTTATCAAGGGCTTCAGTGTTGGGCTCTGAAAGAGGCTCCAGCTTAGTGTGACCAATGGTAAAATGATCCTAGAGCAGTGTGACTGGTGAACGACAATGAGAATCAGTCAGTCAGGCAGTAAAGCCTGTTGGGCATCTGAACCACTTTGAGATCAGATAGCGACAGTATTCACCAGTATTCCACAGAGAATACACTGGATGTATATTTTCCCTCAGCTTATCTGGACTTAGGTAAGTGTAATTCTTCTTTATTGGTGTTCATGGTCACCATGGTTGGCCATTGGTTTGCAGTTGATTTGAACTGAAATAAGATATGAAATTAGCTGGAAAACAAATGACAGAGCATAAATATAATTTCTAAGTGCGGTGTTGTCTTACAGTAAATGGCACTCTTGGTATTTATTGTGTAAGTCAAGAAGAGGCTAATGTCATGCAATCTATGCTTGTTACTCTGCTTTGACCAGTAACACTTTGTTAGCTTTTGAAACTATAAAACATTCCGAAAAGATTTAGTTTTAAAAGAATTTGGGGAGAAATGAATAAAGCATTAGACAGGGCTCTCATCAAGCAATTGAATTTCAATTTTAGGTAGGGAGTTTATGTACAGTATATTCTTTTTGGCAGAAGAAGTGTGGTCTGTATGGGGTCTACATTATATTTCATTCCTACTCCAACTCTTTTGATTAGTTGTAACCGTAGGCTCATTTGAATTTTGTAGCATAAAATCACTGAGCATGAGAGATGCTGAGCACAAATATGGTGGGAATGTAAATTGTCTTTCTTTCCCTTTTATTTAGAATAAAAAAAACCTTTTTTGCTGCAAAATCCTTTGGAGTTCTGCATGTAATTCTGTGTAAAAGTTGATGATGGCTCCGAAGAAGCACTAGTGATTTTTCTGCATTGCTTTGAAGAGTAAAAAGAAACAGGAAAATCAAGGTTGTATGAAGACTAACTTTGGTACAAACCAAGACACTGAAAATAACACCCACTATGACAAACATGTCCCACAGAGATGATGTATTTTAATAGGTTTTAATCAATGTTTAAAATATGTCTTCATTATAAAAGCAGAGCTTTTTCTTAGTTTAAAAAGTCATGGGTTTGGGTATCATATCTATCATAGTGCTTGTTTTATTTTTATGTAAAGTCTATGAATATGACAGATGTACATTTTGTGCTTTTTGATTGGCTATACATCCACATATGCATCTCTTTCATATGTGTGTGTGTGTATGTATATGTACCTTCAAGCTCGAGCTTGAGGGTCCTGCACAGTATCTTAGCTGTTCTCTGCACTCTTGATCATTTATTCTCTCTATCGTTGAAATTCTGTGCTTTACTTTCTGACTTGCTGTGAAATGACTGAAAGACATGCAAGGTTATGCCACTTAGGACTGCCCTCTTCTGGACAGAGATCTCAGATGTTGTTCCTGGGATCTGTTGGAGACACTCTCCCAGTTTTGGGGGTCACAGCCCCCAATGTTCCTATTACCACGAGGACCACTTGTGCCTTCACCTTTCACATTTTTTCTAGCTCTTCTTAAAGCCCTTGATATTTCTCAAGCTTCTCGTGTTCCTTCTTCCTGATGTTGCTATCGCTTGGGATTGCTACATCTATCACTACGGCCTTCTTCTTCTGTTTGTCCACCACTACTATGTCCAGTTGGTTGGTCATTACCAGTTTGTCAAACCCGCTGTGCATTGTAAGGAGCTTCCTTGTCTTGATGTCAGTGGCAGAGCTGACTGAATAGCTCAGTGACTTTGGTACAGAAGGTCAAGGGTTTAAATCCCGGTCAGAGCACAGTCAATATCCAGCCTGGGTCCTTAGGCCAGGCCCTTAACACTACCTGCTACATGGGTAATGAGAGTTGGAAAAATAAGAGTCACACCGGCTCGGATGATGTCCGGGTCTACGAGGCCTGCGTCAGGTGTTGAGGAACCAGGGCAACCTGATGAGAAGTGGGCTACTGGAACAAGATGTTCATGGACAAGAGATGAAAACAGGGAACTATTGGAATGCTACTATACAAGTAACCCCAGCAAAAGGGGTTGCCTACAGAGGATGTGAGACCTATGGAGATATATATGAATGATGCACAGTTTACTGATGTGAGGTGAAGTATGGGGCCAGTCAAGTCACAAATCAGGGGCCCCAAAAATGTTTGGGAGGACCCTGCTAGGACATACAGGAAATAAAAGTTATTGCAGGACATTTTGATTGTTAATTTTTAAAAATCAGCTGTAAAATTCAGTGGGTAATTGATCAAATAATTTATTCTCCAAAGTGTACCATGCTGTAATATGTGTCCTTACAGATCCAACTGTGTCTCTCAGTTCTGTAGCTGTGTGTATGGAGCGCCAGGCAGTGCAGCGGGCCAAGGAGGCCTTCATGGGCGGCAGGACTCGTCCTCTGGAGTTCAGACTGCAGCAGCTTCGCGCCCTGCAGACGATGATCACTGAGAAAGAGACTGAGATCTCCACTGCTGTCAAACAGGACCTCAACAGGGTGAGTCGAGACACAAACAATGTTGCACATAATATTTAGGTTGCTGGGGATTTACTTGTCTAATTGACAGTGTGCTGGGTTTCCTACAGAGCCAGTACGACACACCACTCTTGGAGCTGATTGGCATTGAGAATGAGATCCAGCTGGCTATAGAGAAGCTGGCAGAGTGGGCGGCTCCTCGACCTGTAGAGAAGAACCTCCTCACTATATCAGATGAGGTTTATATTCAGCCAGAGCCCCTGGGTGTGGTGCTCATCATCGGGGCCTGGAACTACCCCTGGGCTCTCACTCTCCTGCCCCTGGTTGGGGCTATTGCTGCAGGTAGGGAACCCAGTCTAGTCCCTCAGTACCTGCCTATTCAGGTTTTAATATAGTCAAGCAGACTTCCAGTGGCAGTGACAACAGCAGTCTGAAATGTACTTCAGAGGTCCTGTATGGCGGCACACAGATATTTTCAGCTCTTCCACTTTAGACTTCCACACAGTGTACTTAGTGTATACCCTAAGTACCCAAAATACGTGATTTTGATTTCTACGCTGACAGTTTCCTGTGCTGTAGATTTCGTTATGTACATTGGTTTTTATTTTCCCTTGTTTTTGGTTAGACATCTTTGTTCTCCCCGCTGACAGTGCCTGTGCGGTGGATCTTGTGGTATGTTTTTTTTTTTTTGTATTTGAGTGTAGCGAAGTGGCATTAGGTTTTTTTTCCCGCTGACAGTCCCTGTGCGGTTGCTTTTCTTTTGTCATTCGCCACTCTTGTTTTTTCACCTATCTGTCCTCATCCTCCTTCTCTCCTAGTTCCTGCTGTTACCCTGTCTACTCCCTTGGTCGTCCTGGTCTCCTCCACCATCTCTGCCTTACCCGGGCTGTATATGTGTATGGACCTTGTTATGTTGTACTTTGTGGTTTTTTTTGTTGTTCCATTAAACCTCCTTCTTTTTTTGTACTAGCACCTGGGTCAGCCATCTTGAGTCCAACCTCAGTTCTCCCTCACCCTCCCGGTGAGGGGGACAAACCATAACAAAGACCTGCAGAGTTTTTATGAGAGAAGTTAACAAGAGGGAGTTAACAAGAAATCCTAATTCATTCGTTGGTAATTATGCACTTCCAGTATGTGATACTTATGTATCTTTTCCGAGCAGTAATGTGTTCCAGATATTGTCCTGCTATCAAAGAAAAGACCACACATTCTTACAGCAGCATTACTTTCAGGATATTGTGGTATTTGAACAGTTGAAATGAGAACAGAATAAATCGTGGTTTGTTTGTGTGTAATTTATGCATTTTTACAGTATTGCTTACATCTGATCTGTCTTATGTTTAGCATCAAGTAGTTAGTCTTTATATTCCTGTTAAACACTCTCAAACCTTTGCTGCATTGGTCAAGGTGATGTGTGTAAATAACTTTTAGGGTTAAATAATGCCATTTGATTCTAAATCACCTAGTGTTGCTTCTGCTACATCAATTTCCAGCTTCTGTTTAAAGCATTTGACTCCAGACTGAGCTTAAGCTACATGTATTCCCTATGTTTACAAAGTAAGGGAAATTTCAAGCCTTACATCAAACTCTTTTAAATTTCTCTGACATGTAGAGAGATGATGATGGCATGTTTAGCTATAGTCACTCTTATCAGTAAATAAGGTCATACATATACAGTATATATATCCTTATTTTAGGTCTGATTATCCCATAGTAAGAGATAACAGTTATGGTCTGGTAATAACTGTCAGTTAATGGATTTAATTATGTATGTTAGCCAAGCCTATACTGTATTAGGTGTACTGTATTAAACATAAGACTGCAGGTCTCTTTTCAAATTTTAAAGGATTGCTGGCACAATTATCAAAGGACTGTTAAAGAAGCTAAGAGAGAATATTTGTCTGATATTGTTGTATCAAACAGTCATAATCCACGTGTGTTATTTAACACAATTGGGTCTGTGTTAAATCTTGCACAGCCTGTCTGCCTGGAAGCCTCTGTTGAGGTGTGTGATAATTTCTTACAGCTTTTTATTGAGAAGGTTGCTGCTGCGAGGGCTCTGGGTACAGCCGCTGTCTTTGACCCCTCAGCCTTGGTCCCTTGTGTGGCCGTTTTTGATGGATTTGAACCCATAACTTTAGCCTTTTTGGAGAAAATGATTAGTCAGATTAAACTATCTGGCTCTCTGCGAGATGTTATTCCACCGCGTTTTTTTTAAAGAGGTCTTTTCGTGTATAGGTAAGCTGGTCTTGGCTATTATTAACAGTAGTCTGTTGTCTGGTGTTGTCCCTGCATGTTTTAAACATGCAGTAGTGCAACCCCTACTTAAGAAACCAGGTTTGGACCCTTTGGTCTTAACTAATTTTAGGCCAATCTCTAAGCTCCCTTTTATTTCTAAGATATTAGAGAGGGTGGTTTATATTCAGTTGAAGTCCTTTTTAGATGAGCACAATGTCCTGGAGGTCTTCCAATCTGGTTTTAAAACTTTACATAGTATAGAGTCTGCCTTATTAAGGGTTTTTAATGATATATTCTTGGCAACCGATGCCGATGATTATGTGATCCTTGTCCTGTTGGATTTGACTGC